TTCCTGGCTCGGGCTCGGCTCGGCTGACTCGTTGCCACCCCTAGGCAGCGCTACTACGCACAGTGGCGTCGTGTTGTTGCACTGCGAGGCAACTACGTGCAGCGGTATTTTTTGAAATTTGTTTGTATATTTTTTTTGATATGATCTTTTATGAGTGATTTTCTGATCAAATATGTTGTATTAGATGGAGTTTTGGGAATGCTTGTTGGTGTTTTACAAATAATGGTGGTAGTGCAGGTAATGACGATGGTGGTGGTTGTGATGCAGTTTGCAATTTGTGTAGTTGGTGGTAGTTGTAGTTTTGCGCGGTGGTCACAAATGGTGGTTGCTCATGTGGTGGTAGTGTTGGTGATGAGGTGGCAAAAGTTCAATTGATGTCGGGGGTGGGGTGCGGTGATTATTATCAATAAATTGGTTAATTGTTACTAATGTGACTTAAAAAATGTGAGATTACAACTAAATTTGTAATAGTTGCAATTTATTAAGAAGTGACCAATTAATTCAATAATTTATAACTGAAAAAATAAATTTTGACCAATTAATTTGAGAATTTGTGACTAATAAAATTTGTGATCGAAAAATAATACTTGACATATGAATCCAATAATTCATTTGTTAAGCTATGATTAATTAATTTGATAATTTGTTATTGATAAATAACTCGTGACCAATTAATTTGATAATTTGTGACCTGAAATATAACTTATGACTTATAAAATTTGTGATTTTTTATCAAGAAATAATGTGTGACCTACTAATTTGATAATTTGTGACAAATAAATAAATTTTGACCTATAAAATTTGTAATTTGTAATCGATAAATAATGCTTGACCAATTAATTTAATAATTTATGATCGATAAAGAAATTATGACTTATGAATTTTGTGATTCGTGACTGTGACATTTTCTAATCGTGGCTGGTAAGTAATTGTGACCGTATAATATATACCGACTTTAATATATTTAATTAATAAAACATTTTTAATTATCTATTTTAATAAATAAAATTTAATTATGACCTGATTTTTGAAGTTTTAAAAATGTATTTTAATTTTGAAATTATATTTTCTAACCACCTTAAATATGTATTGTTACTTTGGAAAATATACCATTTTTGGGTTTGTATTCATAAACTGTGTATCTTAATTATAATTTACAAGTGAACTTTTTGTTAAGCCATGCAATTGTATTCTTGACGAGTCATGCGAGATAATTTTTTATAGACTTTTATTTTAGTATCGATTTTAATTATTTTAAGTAATTTTTTGTGTGTTGATGAGTATGATTCGGTATTTTGTTTGTCAACCCCTTACATCTGTTCTAACAACATTGAACATAATTTTCTTTCGATTTAGTATAAAGCTTTACGAAATACGAGCATCACGTTCATCAATCTGAAACTAATATCGAAAAGATGTTTAAAGCAATATTTGATTAAATTTGACATAATGTCGATACTAACACTAAAAAAACAATGATCCAAAAATAATCGATGAGGTGGAAACAAAATTTAATTCCGTTCTACGACAATTCCATAAAAATATTGGTGAAATAATCCCCAACTAGATTACCTTGGATCTTGTACAAGTATCGTAACTCCTTATTTGTCGTCGTTAAGTAACGTTTTTATCTCATAGATATTTAAATACATTTTTTTTTCTTAGTCTATATTTATCTCATATTTATAAATTATTTATAAACATTAGGCCTATTTTTGGTGTGACTTAAAATTTTGGTTATAATTTATGTTAAAATGGAAAATTAAATTTAATCACATATTTTATGGAATTTTTATCGTTTTTTCATCTACACATTTTATCAATATTTATCAATTTTACAAAAATCTAATTTTTAATTACAACTGAGTCACTTTTTATTCACGTATTTCGAAATTCGTCTTTACAATCGAAAATGTTTTTAACATTTTCCAAACATGCTTTAATACTTATAAATAAGAAAAAGTAGAAAATTATTTTTGAAATAGATATCTTACTTATTTCTAAATTCAAACTCAAAAATAATTTTAAACTTTATTTTCTAATTGATAAAACTTTATTTTCTAATAAATGAAATTNACTTTATTTTCTAATAAATGAAATTGAGAATTGAATTTCGAAGAAGGTAGGCATATTCCAGGATTCCGCGTGTTACTTTTCTGGTCTGGTGGGCGTCCAACCAATAAAGACTAATTTTCATCTTTATACTTTTTCTTTATATATAAAAACAATATTGTATTCGCTAGAACTAGATCACTATCCGAATTGGAACTGAATCTGGAAATTCAAATTGATAAAACTGTAAACCCTTCTCAAATTCGACAATCTGTCTTTATTTTCGCGTGGAAGAGCCTTAAAGTTCTCTATAAATACATATTTGTCCGCTCGGATATCCCCTCTTTATTTGGAGGTATAATTGTTATTTTTGCTGATAGAATTGAGGTATTTGAGAAATAATTGAGATAATGTTTAACGGAATGATGGATCCGGAGTTAATGAGAATGGCTCAGGAGCAGATGAGTCGCATGTCACCAGCTGATCTAGCTAGGATTCAACAACAGGTATTTATATATATTTTTTGTAATTTATTGGTGAATTTTGAAATTTGTGAAAATCCGTTTGCGATTTCAGCTTGGGTGTGAATTTTTTGGTTTCAGATTTTGGAATTTATGAACGCTCTTGGTTGGTGATTTGATTGTTGATTCTGCCTGATGCTCTTATCGTTTATTTATTTTCTATTGCTATTTTCCTTGTGGGTTCTATTGTTAATTTGGTATAGACTGGATTGCTGTATTTCAGTGCTCCATAAACAACTAATTGATCGATAGGATTTCTTGCCGCAAATGGTGAAAGATTTGGACATTTTAGGATCTCTTGTCAGCGTGTTATGTGTTTAAGATTAATAGACGACTTGATGTATTTTTGTCTGGCATTGGGTCATTGTCATACGAGTCTACCTCGGCTCATCCTTTTTCATTAATAAAATTGCCAATATTCATCAAAATAGCCAAGAATCGTTGTTGTGAACTGGTATTTTAGCTATCCAGTGGACTCAAAAATGTCAGAGTAGCTTGCTTTTACAACGAACTCCAAAATACTACAAAAAGGTTAAATTGGTGCATTTGAAAAATGTAGAAGAATGAGATAGCCACACTAGGCTAGTTGTACAATTTTGTGGTATATAGGCAAGCAATGGTTTAATTTCTAGCTTAGATGTTCTATACTTGGTCAAATAACAGGGATTTTAATTCTAATTTTCATTTATTCTTTAGTTCAGTTCTTACTGATGGCTGTCATTAATTGTTGCAATGCAGATGATGTCCAATCCGGATCTAATGAAAATGGCTACTGAAAGCATGAAAAGCTTGAGGCCTGAAGATTTGAAGCAAGCTGCAGAACAGTTTAAGCATACCCGTCCAGAGGAGATGGCGGAGATTAGTGAGAAGATGGCCAAAGCATCACCTGATGATATAGCTTCCATGCGTGCGCGGATGGATGCTCAGGTTTCTTATGAGATAAATGCAGCCGAGATGCTGAAGAAACAGGTAACTTATCAGTGATTTTTTTTTTCTTCAAAATTTCGTATGTTACCAAAGCTTCATCTCTACCCTTTTCATTTTAACTTTGTTTCGTAATAATTTTCTGTTCAAGCTAACAAATAAAGAGAAAATTCCACCATGATCTAACTACTTATGTTATTGCAGGGGAATGATCTTCACAGTCAGGCCAGGTACAAAGAGGCCCTGCAGAAATATTTGCATGTAAGTGTTGCATTTTTGTTTTGTTCTATTTCTGTTGTATTTGTTGGTTTTCCTTGGCTGTGAAGTTTCATCTTGTGCAACTCTCTTTTGTTTCTTGATCAATATTAGGCTAAGAAAAACCTGAAAGATGTTCCTATCTCAAAAGGCAGGAGTCTCCTGTTGGCTTGCTCTCTTAATATGATGTCATGTTACTTGAAAACCAGGCAGTATGATGAGTGTATCAGGGAAGGCACAGAGGTATGAATATCATATTTCTCTTTGTTTGTTATCTTACATCTAAAATTGGTCAAATCATTGCGTGTCAATTCAATCATTTTGAATTTGGTCGTAGCAACTCTTCTCTTTGCTGCTATCGGCTTTGTAGGGTGCTTTGAACGTGCAATAATTCATAGTAAAAATTTTACCAAAGTGACGAGGCCCGAGTTTCTATATAAAAAATGGCAATACTGCAGGAGACAAAATTTTCTAGTACTAGGGTCAAGAAGTACTAAATTTAAAATATATGTTTATTCTTTCAATGGGGGGTATTAATTACTAACTTATTAGCAAACACTTTTTGCCATGAATGCTCTGATATATATTGTGAATTTCTTGTCTGCATTTGATGCACAACCATGGTTATCAATAATCAATACAGAATAAAACTGAAAACAATAACTTTTGGATATTCAGGTTTTAGGATATGAAGCAACAAATGTCAAAGCCCTTTACCGAAGAGGTCAAGCATATAAAGAATTGAGGCAATTCGAAGTAAGTATCTGCTTACTTATTTCATGTTTACCATGATTGCCAATTTTGTTTCTTTTGCTTTCATATGCTATCTGTCCATCTTTTATATTTTCTTTGCTCATCATACTGACTTTGTATATATGCCAGGATGCAGTGTCTGACTTGAGTAAAGCTCACGAAGTTTCTCCTGAAGACGAAACTATTGCAGATGTCTTAAGGTACTGAAGTTTCAGTTAGTGAACTTGGAATTTTTCATGCTATATTATTTTATTCTTCCCATTGTTTCAATTGTGGAATATGTTTGGTCTTTGTTTTTTTCCCTCAAATTTTCTAGACTTACTATCAAACTTAAAGCCCGAGTCATTTGTTCTGTGACAGGGAGGCGAAGGAAAGATTGAGCGAACAAGGCAATGAGCGTCCTTCGAGAAGTGCGCTGTTTTACCTTCTTTCTATTAATTCTATTTTTTTATGTTTATTAGAAAAGCTGGAATTTCATAGTCTATATTTTTGTATATACAGCTGCACCTTGCCAATTTCTTGCAATCTAATTTGAGTTATTTCTGTTCTTTTCATGTATAGGATTGGTTATTGAAGAAA